TAAACAGGATCAACAGTTATTATAAAGCTCAAAACTCCTAATTTTTGATAAAAAAAAAAAAAATTTTATTGTAAATAAGTGCCTACTTAAAAAAAATGTATTTAAAGTACAATAAATTATCTAAATTTATTCTTTATCTAAAATTATCTTGTAATGGGATGAGTTATAAAATTAAAAATTACGTAGACTGGAACTAATATTTAATGCTCCGTTATTCTGGAAATTAAACAAATAAATTCATATATTTCAAAGCTGTAATACTTTAATTATCTCTTCTCCAGAAAATTTATATTCTTATGAAACGCAATATTATTTTTTCTTCATTTCAACAATAACATTTTTTTTTTTTTTTTTACTTGTTCTTAAACAGAGAATTAAATTAAATCATTATTAACGGTATGTGAACACTGTCATATATTTATCACATTTTGTAAGTACTGTAGGTATACGCCTTATTTGCGTAAACTTTTTTTCTGGCCTCTTGTAACGCACTTTTCTTCCAATAAAGGTATGTATGATGTTATTATTAAGCTTGAATTGAAGCTTACTTTTTTAACTTTTAATAGAATTATTAGTAAATATTTTTTTTTTTAATCTCATGAAGTTTTATACGTTGACAAGTTAGCGTTCTTCCCAATGATTTGAACATTTTAACCTGAAAATTTAAAAATTAAAGAAAATACTATTTTCATATCTGTATAATGTGTTACTGAAGTATTTAAATATCTGAATGTTTTAATTAATACATAATTTTATTGGAATACCATTATGATGTATGTATTGTCTGGTTCTTTTTTTTTTCGCTTAAAAATAAAAAGGAAGAAGAAAGATGTAAAAATCTTCGAGTGGTCAATCGAATCTATTATGGTATTGAAAATATGAAAAAATTAGTATCTGGTGGGGTGGCTAATTTTAGTCGATTGACAGAATAAAAACGTGTTCAGAATATGTCACTAGATCTAATTAAAAAAATATTTATTAACCAACATTTGAGTATCTTCTTGTGGTTTTCTAAAATAGTAGATGCATACATGTAATTATCGTTTTCATCAAAACAAATTTATGGATCCAGCTACAGATCATCCAAAGTTGTGTTTCTTCCGAGATTTCCAAAGATCCAAATTTTCCAAGGCATTCGTCACGTTCATCTCTATGTGGTGTTTTAAAATTGCATGCTATCTGTAACAGAAACAATTTTAGTTTTTAACAGAAAAAAAAAAATATATAAATAAAATAAAATAAAATCAAGAAATAAAAAAAATATTTGAACTAAACCTCTTTACACCAACAGATGCACCAGATATCATGATTATTTATGAATCTCAGACAATGGAGCATTTGAAACAGAACAAAAAGGCAGCCAACCAAAAACAGTCCAACGTCGGTCGGTCAACGGCGCCCAAAGTAATTCCAACTGCCGATATTTCTCAGGCATCATCCACACGGTTCGCGACAGCCTCTGGTCAGGCCACATTGCCACGGTCTGTGACACCGAAGGCAAATCGCATTGCCATTTGGAAGGGTACGCTCGAGTGGATGAGCAAAATCAAAGGCGCGACTGAAACCGAAAAACAAATCTGTCGAGTACCCTGCTGTATGTCCGTGGCTCAGAAAGACGCTGAACTCATAGAGTAAGTTTATCCAAAAAATTTGAGGGAATACATGTTTGACTTGAAATGGCATAAATCAATGATAATCGATTCGATAGGGCAGCAAGGTCGTGGTCCAAGACCCTCGTCATGCGTCTCTTTCAAAACGAATACATGCGCATCAGTGGACTGGAACACTTCGTGAACTCAAAGTCGGTCATGTTCCACCTATCGGCAAACGACGCTCTCAAGTCACTGATGAGTGTCATGTCGAAAGGTTACGCAGGTTACATTCAATTGATCGAAAAAACCGAGGGTGACTGCAAAGTCCTTTTGCTGTTGTACATGGCCAAGAAAAAACAGTTTCTCGGTTTCATTCCCAACAATCAGAGCTCCTTCCTCGCTGGGTTCATCAAGTTCATGAAGCAGAAGAGTACACAGGCACCCACGGGCCACCAAGGTTCCTCGGTGGTCCCAAAGTCGGCGAGTGGACCGAGCACAGGTCAGCGTGTCGCGAGTCCCAATGTGCCGCCAGGAGTGTTGGCCCCGAGTCGAATTTCCTTACGGGACGCTATGATCATACTGAAGAATTCTCGCCTTGAGCCACCTGTGAAGCCAACTGGAAGTGCCCAGGTTAGAAAGAGCACCGTGGACAACGGCCAAGTGGAACAGGTTGACAATGTGAGCGGCTCATGGTATTTCATTGTGATGTTTAATTTGAGTTGGACAATAAGTATAAAACTATTTTTTATTCTAGTTGCAGCTAAATCTTCATCAAGTTCAAGATTCGAAAATGGAGGTAGAACCGACAGAGGTGGGTATGCACGTGCTTTCGTGATTTATTGGTTTAAAACAAATTTTCATTACTTCCTTGTGTGTGTTAAAGTATTATTGTTTAAGAATGTTGATTTTTTAATACGTGTTTTTCTCTAAAATAACTTCTGAAATTATATTGAATATAATAGAATTGTTACTGGGTACATAGTTCTGATGTGATGTATATTTTTAAAGGTTCAGAATGTTCAGAAGACATTGGCTCTCGAGTTGGTCAAGAAGGAACAGAATACACGACAGTGATTATTGATTAATGTTGATTTCATTATCCTTTGCAATATACGTTTAACTGAAGTTATCTCTTAAAGCTATAAAAAAATGTCATTGTGTATACGTTAAAATATTTTAAGAAAAAACCTTTTTTAGCAAAATTCAAGATATAATTTTGAGTTTTTTTTTTTTTT